CTCTCACAAATATTGTAACATTAAAATTTAATACGGATATTGACACGTCACTAAAATTTGTCACAAAATTTTAATATGAGTGACGGAATGATACCTTCCCTAAATTTTCAATTTATTCAATTTTTTTTTAGTATACTTTGTGCATGCTTAATCTTTTTCCTGTTAATCCTAAATTCGAATAGTGTTTCATCTAACATGTTATTATTTGTTGTTTAGGTATAAATGAGAAGTAACATCATTAAATTTATTTTGTAACTTTTAAAATAATTAATAGGTTATTTTTCATCTACATTTTTAATTGTTGTATTTTTAGTTAAATTTATAGTCAAAATCATTATTAATTTTTAAAAAATAAAATAAAATAAGAAACAGGTTTGTTGATTTAAAAAAAATAATGAAAAGAGACAATTGTATATATTATTAAAAGACCGAGAAAATGTTGAATTTTTTAAAAGAATATATATAGATACAATTTTTAATACATGCCTTTTAAGACGAAGGTTAACAAAACTCTTTATTTTAAACTTAAAAAATAAAAAATAAAAAAAATAATAAAAAAATACTTAATCTTCTATGAGATTAAACTTTGAATGAATAAATATATATTTGAAATTTCAAACTTAAATTTTAAATCTCAAATATATTTTATCCAGCAAAAATGTATATTTTGTTATGAATACTTTTGTCATTATCCAACTCTTTTAAACATTATGTCCCATGCACAAAACTGTATTTTCGGCCAAAAATGTTTATGTGGGAATCTATGTAGTGGAGATCATCAATGTTTTATAGTTTTAGATGCATTATTATATCTAAGCCAGGCTATATAGGGCCAAGTTCTGCACTAAATAATAAATACGACAATGCAAATGTCACTATAAATGGCCTCATTTTTAGCAGTTTCTTTGACTGCCACATTTATATTGCTGCCCTCATCCAGAACAGCATCAAAACCATTGACCAGAAAATATCTGTTCATTAAGTTTTCTCGTATAAATCTTATCAACTCTAGGTTTAAATATGAAAAGTATAAAGAGTTTAAGACCAATATATTTATTACTTATATGAAGATTGATATGTTAATCTTAATTTTCAATATTTGATCATTCACTCCTAAAAACATGCTGTGAAGTGATTTGAGCCATTAATATATTTTGGATTTTGATCTCATCATATGGCCCAGCATCTGGTCCTTCCATGAAAACTTGATCAGTGATCACAATGCAAACAAAACAAAGGCTTGACTTTTCAGATATTCAGAACAATGAATTGCTTCTAAAAAGTGCCATAATAATAAAACATGATAGGTGGCAGTCACTTGTGGCCAAATAAGTAAGTACTGTCTTTTGTTTTTTCTTTCTGTTTGATTTGGTCTTGGCACACTTCTTTTCTTCATATAGATTAGAGCATTTGCAAAGTTCATTGCTAGCAACAAAATATATTAGTAAATTGAAGGTGCTTTGGTCTTGGCAGCTTATATTATCACTCAAATGTGTTTATTCTCTTGTTAATTTATTTATTCATTCCTATAACTTGTTTATATTACTAATGAGAAATAAAGATATGCATTTTTTTATTATGTAAAATTGGGTTTCATTCCTATAACTAGTTTATATTACTAATGAGAAATAAAGATATGCATTTTTTTATATTACTAATTTATTTTGTGAATGAGTGTGAGAAAAAAAAATAACTTATGATAATAAAATTCATTTTGAAATATGGAGTATAGGCATCTTCCTCATTGAAGATATATATGGAAATAGTGGGCATTAAGGTTTAGAGAAATATCAATTTCATATGCATACAAGAAATAATGTGAACAGATGAACATGAGAAAGAATTAGACCGTTCGATATTTAGGCTTTGATTCATTGGTGAAGTTATATCGAGAAATGAGATAGAGATTATTCTACAAAATGAATAGAAGAAATATATTATAGATGCAAAAAGAGTATGAGATCAAAGCATATCTCTATAATGGAGCAGGATACATTTTATGTTATTAGTGCTTACACACTTTATGTTGGATTAGAAGAACACCTTAGCAAAATTTTAGAGGATTTAGAAGACTTATTTAAGGATATATTCCAATGAGAGAATATTTCCTATGAAGAAGTTGAAATGGATATGAAGGAAAAGTATGGTCTCTAGCAAGTAAATAAAGAGGGCAAATTCATCCTAGATTTTCGTCTGTTTTGATCTTATTGGAGCTAATACATGTTTTCCGAAAAAGAGATGAGGCTATAATTGTGGATCTATGTACTTACGGGTATGAAATTGATGATCGTAATGTTGACAACCTTCTTAAGATTTTGATGACGACAATACTGACGATTGTTGAAGTTCGTGGTGATATCTTTCCAACTCTTTGATAATGGTGATTAACGTGAAGATATATCAAGGCTCATTAAGTAGAAGATTCAAGGTTCTAGTGAAGCGCTTATATGATCGAAATATTTGGGAAAAGAGCTTGAAAACTTTAGAGTTGTGAAAGAAAGGAAGTGTGAAAATTCGTCTGATAGTGTTTGTCTAAGTAACTATAGTCTTTTAAAAGTAGGCGAGAAACTCCTAAAATACTAAAGCAACTCTCACACACACACCTAAATTTTTTTAAGGCTTCTCTTTACCTAAAAAAAATAGCTAGAAAGCTTTTTAGGGTATAGTCAGTTGATTAGAAAAGTGTCTGATTGGTTGAAAGCAGTTTGTTAACTAAATAGACGATTAGACATTTAACCTAAATGATTACGACTTTCTTGGTTGAGTATATAATTGATTGGGACAGTCTCTTAATGATTGGTAACGATTATATATCAAAATCTTCAATTTGTGGCACTAACAATCGATTCTTTGGGGTGCCTAATCGGTTATCCCATTAATTCGACCCATAGATTGTTTCCTTTTTTTAGCCACATTTTCTCTCCGAATAATGGGTCGAATTATTTTAGGATTGCCCATTAATTCGACCCATAGATTATTTCCTATTTAAAAAATAGAGTGATATAATGTTTAGAATGTTTTTTATCTCTGATTTATCAATACTAACACAAATTATTTTTTAAGTAAAAAAACCTTTTAATTAATTACGAATTTTAAATAACACAATTCATCTGTCATTCTAGTGTTTGGAGTCACTTGTCCAACACTAATCACATATAAGAGTGGGGTGACATGTTCTCAGATATATTTATTTATTATTACGAAGTTAGGTATGAAGATTTGTTTGGACTATAAAATTGTACCAAGGAGATCCATGAATCAAATGGTGGTCGAAGAAAAGGCATCAAACAGGAACTCCACGAATCAAATGGTGGCATTTAAAGGCCGAAAACAAAGGAGTTTTCAACAGAAAATCTCATAGAGGGTTTCGAACAACCACAGGAAATATGTGGAACATGATGACACAAGAGATTAGAAAAGTAGGTAAGTATTTGGGAGTTTTAAGAGGTTTTGGACTTTGGGGTTTGGGGTATGGAGTCATGGTGGTGGAACGAAACAAATATTCACAATAAACTTAGAGTAAAAATGAATATTTTAAATAATGGTCTAGGTGTAAAAGTGTTGAAACTTGGGAAAAGTATAAGAAAGATATCAAGAAGACGATGAGTGAGGCAAGACTCAAAAATTTGACCGATTATACTAATCTTTATGAATCAAGGAGGGAGAAAATTTCATATATAGGCTTGTTCAGGGAAGAGAAAGAAATACAAAATATTTGAATTAAGTGAAGTGTGTTAAAGATGAAGAAGAAAAAAATTGTTTAGAAAATATATATAAAGGATAGGTGAAAGAAGTGTTTCTACCATTTATACCATTTATACCATTTATTTAATGATTCATATGATATCTCCCTGAACTCGAACAAACTTGATATGAGAGAAGATGATCAAAATTATAATTATGATTGTTGGATTCAAAAACATGATGTAAAAGAAGCGTTGAAAGAGATGAGTAATTACTAAGGTGGTCTGGTCAGACAATATATCTGTTGAAGTGTGGAAAATTTTTGGAGATAAACGCATTGAGTGACCCATCAAAATTTTAACGAAATTATGTGGTTAGAGAAAATGTTTGATGAATGGAGAAGATTCATTTTACTTCCAATCTAAAAGAACAATGTGGATATATAAAATTGTGCAAATTATAGGAGGATTAAACTTATGAATCATACCATGAAGTTATGGAAAATAGTAATTTAATGGAGATTAAGAAAAGAGACTTAAGTTATTGATAATCAATTTAGTTTTATGCTTGAGAGATTGACCATGAAAGTGATACACTTACTATTATGATGTGTGATGGATGAGTATTGAATTGATTAACAAAACTTGCACTTAATTTTTATTGACTTGAAGGAAGATTGGGATAGAGTGTCTAGCAATATTTTGTGCAAAGTCCTAGAGAAGAAAGGAGTTAGATTTATATATATTCAAGTTATCTAAAATATGTATGATGGGGGTGTCGACTAGTGTGCGGATACAGGGTGTAAAGGGTGTAAAGACTAACGATTTTCCCACAACAATAGGATTGCACCAAAGTTCAACCCTAAACCCTTATCTTTTCATTTTAATTTTGGATGCACTTACACAATACATCCAAGAACTAGCAATTATATATATGTTTTTTACATATGATATAATCTTACTTGAAGAATCAAATGAAAATTTAAAAAGAGATTGAAGATGAAATATATGGAAAACATATCATCTCACACATAATTTAAATACTTTGAATCTATAATAAAATAAAAAATAAAAAAAGGTGTAAACCATTTAACCATTAAACTCTTACTAATTTGAAGCACAAGAGATTGACTAATTTAAATAACATTGCTAGCATGAGAAGTATCATTACTTATTTTCTTAACATTGCTAGCTTGAGAAGTATTAATTTTATACATTACCAAGCTAAAGCAAAATAATAGTAATCATCTAATCTAATCTGAATGATTAATTTCTGTTGCATACATTTATAAAATTTAAAAAAAAAAAAATATGACCTCATTGTGAACCATGATCTAATTCATTTACATGAGAAGAAAGAAAAACTTTGCTAATAATTCTCTTGAAAGAAAAACCAAACAAAGACAAAGAAGTTTCTGATACAGAAACAGAACCACTTTCACTAATCTCATAACTTCTTGGACTATCAATCACAATCTCAACACCATTATCATGAGAATCTTCATGAACAATCAAAGATCTACAAATTGGACAATTGCTATGTGAATTCAACCACATGTCAATGCATTCAACATGAAATGCGTGTCCACATTTTGGTAACTTTCTTCCAATCTCTCCGTTTTCAATATAACTCAAACATATCACACATTCTAGTTCCTCTGTTTTATGTTCCGACACAAACGTGGGAATCTTCGAAACTGTTGTTGGGTCGAGTCCGGTAAAGGGTGGGGCTTCGACGTTGAAACGGTGGTGAAAGTTGGAAGGAATTGGAACGTCGGAGAGAGGCTGCCGGCGGTGAGGATTTGACTGTGAGTTGGACTGAGCTAGGAAGCATTTGGCGTAGACATGGAGAAGGAGGACGAAGAGGATTACTAGGAAGAGAGAAATAATGGCTGCAAGCATGATGATGTTGTTGTTGTTGTTTTCGTCGGAGAACATGTCCTGAGCGAGTTGACTCAGTTGTTTGGTGGACGAGTTTACTGAGTCGTGCTGGGTCAGCATTTGTAAGTGAAGTATATATAAATGGGTGAAATGGGTTTGGATTGTTTTGGAGGAAAGGTTTGAACTTGAAGTGATTTGTTAAGAAGAATTATTACATATACAAACAGAACATTGACACTTGATTTATGTGTACAATTAAGAAGAATCTTGCTTAGTTATGGTTTTGTGTGAGGAGAAGAATCCTTGTATTCAACTTGGACAAGTGGAGGGAAAATGGAGGGTAATGCATGTGAGAAAGAGGTGAGAGGAGGATGAGAAAAAGGAGAGGAAGAAATGAAGCACTCGTGAAGGCAATGGCTGTGGAAGGTGGTAGGTGAGTTTAATTGATTCATGTGGAAGGTTTCCAGTAATATATATATATGAAGTGCTTTTGGGGCTTTTCTGTTTTAAAGAGATAGATGAATGTGAATTCAGGGGTCCCATGTGAGTGTAAACAGATACAATAAATAAAAGTTTTTTTTTTTTTCTCTTTCCTTTTATTTTGACCAGCCTAGTAGAGAGAGTACTATAGCTACCCTCAGTCCACTGGTGACTGCAGTAGGAGATCTTTGCATAGATTACATCCCATATTTTGCTGCATGTTTCCAGTGATGCATCCATCCCTTTTCAAGCTTTTTTTTTTCCCTCCTTTTTCTAGATTTTATAGAGTAGCCATGTCGTATAGTACTAGTACACCACAAAATTTGACAATTGAATATGTACTCCCTCCATTCCTATTTATAAGCAAATTTTAACATTTTAGATTCATTAAGTAATTAATGCATCTAACCTATATATAGTCCAAATACATCATTTATTGAATGAACCTAGGAAGTCATAATTTGCTTATAAAAGAGAATGGAGGGAGTATATCATAAAGAACTAATCAAGTGGGTTAGATTACAAAAGTCTTGTGTATAAACTAAAAACAAACTCATTTGCTTCTTCTAAGACCTCTTCCAACATGGTGATCATAATTCATAAAGGTATTGAAAATTATTACTTATCTTTGTTTTATTTTTCTTAGATGTTTTTTACTTGACCGTTTTTTATCATCTTTTATTTTCATCACTTTATTTGTACTCCCCCTTGTCTATATTAGATTCATTAAATGAATAAAGTATCTGGTCTATATTTAGTCTAGATACATTGATTATTCAATGAATCTTACTTTTAATTTCTCTCTGCTCACTCAATCACACAGAACTGCAACATGTGATCCAAGTCTGTTTTTCATTAGTCCTTCGTTAGCCTACAAATGCTAAGACCTGCATCCAGCTAATTGTAGTCTTTTATGACAGGACCAAGTTTTCTCATGTTGGTCCAAACCTATTTCTTTAGGTTTTTAGGTTCCTTACTGTAAAATATTGTACTCCATTTGGTTGTAAAGTTTAAAAATTTTCAAATAAGGAACTAAAGAATGATCATCAATAAGAACGTAGTATATTTTACTTTAGAGGATCACAATTTACATGATAAATCATCATTTTTTTCCTCGTTACAAAAAAAGAAGTTTGTGTAAAATCTATCCTTTCCATCCCTTTTCATCTCTTCTTCTCTTACTTATATCAGTCCATTAGTTTGTATCTTTTCTCTTGGACACCTGTAACTCCCAATTCTATCTCTATTATAGTATGAAGTGGCACCTGTAAATAAGTAAAACCTCACATTAGATATTTTGTGCTAAATTCTGACTCATTCAAATGTTTCACAAATTGTGCGGTGAACCTCACAGGAATATTCTAACACGAAAATAAAATAAACCTGCCACTTAAATATTTTCCAAAAGTTAAATGAGTTGAACGATTAAGATAATCAGAGTTTGAATTCTAGTGAAGGGGAAAATAACAACTAATATTTGCTAAAAACTCAACCAGACTTGTGCATTAACTCCATATGATAGTAAGAACAACACATTTAAATAAATATGAATCCATATATTACCTCCATATGTGGAATTTCTTTCAAAGGCCTGTCTGTAAAATAAGCATATAATGCCCTTAAAACCGCCTGCGAAGAAAGAAGTATTGGAAAAAATAATCTCAAGAATCAAAACCAGTAAAAGATACACGAATGCAAGTTTACTTTAACATCGTCATATATGCAAATACCTGATGAGATACCACAACAACAGGTGCTCGTTGCCTCTCAAGCTCAATAATTACCGGCTCTAACCTGAAATATCATCAAAACTTAAAAGTTATTTATGTCAAACAAGTAGTAGCTAGGATCTATCACGTTAAAGATGAAATATATCATCAACCTTTGAATAACATCCAAGTAAGACTCCCCACGAGGATAACGATATCTAAGTTTGTCCTTTTTGCGGGATCTACAATAGAAAAATGAAAATATTAAAATAAAATAAAATAACTAAAGCCACTTTAACATTTTAATTGGCATTCTGCTCCTATCAAGCACTTGTTTTTTATCTGATAATACCAGTTCATTCAGCACTCAAATATGCAAGATTAAAGTTTGAGACATACTCATACTCCTCTGGCATGTTCTTCTTGATTTCTTCATATGTCATTCCATCACACACCCCAGCATCTATCTCATCAAGTGCGCGCCATTGTATCTAACATATATAGAAGGCAAGTGTAAGAAGACCATTAATATGTAACTTTGTTAATCCATATTTGCTGATTTAAGGATGACCATAACCTTGGGAAATCCACCAATGGGGCCTGCTGTCAGAATTGTTCGCTGCAGTGTACTGGTCCATATCTAGACAGAGGTTGCAAGCATAAAAATTTATCCATCATTTCTGTATTTTCATACAAACATTTAATAGACATGGCAATAACTCATGCAGCACTATATTATATAACTTCAAAAAAATCCTATGCGCAAGGAGAATGCTTTCTATTTGGTTGTGTCAGATTTGCAAATCATGTAAAGGAAACATTTGTGTTGATATTTAAATAATAACATAGGAATAGTTTGTAAATTTACTCTAGCGTATTCTAGAATCCTCTTAGCATAGCATATTATTCTGTATATTATTACTTAGCATACTACTTTGTAATTAATCCTCTTTATTGTATCATTGCTTATATAACAGAATTTCCTCGATGCAGTCTAGACACACGGTTTCACCATATACCTCTCGTTTTTCGCTCTTTCAATATGGTATCCAAAGTTATTGAGAGGCAACCAAATGCTTATTTATTAGAGTAAATATACTAGGTGTGTTAGTTAGAACTGTAACTGTTATACTTGTGTTAAGCAGAACAGATTGACAATGTTTAGAACTGTCTAGAATGCAGTTACAACAAACTTTATGCTGAATTAGTTACACTACACCACAACTAGCAGTAAGCTATTTCCTGTATAAACAGAATCAGTTTTATATCAATTCGAATAATATTCTCTCAATTGAATTCCTTCTTTTCTCTTTCTAGAACACTCAGGATGATGAAATTTTCACTCCGGAACGCGGATTTGAAACATGGTCAGCAATGTTTTGAATCCGCATTCCAACAATTCGATCCAAGCCTCCATTTGACCTCTTTTAAACACCACTAAAACAACCAAGATCTTAATGCTACAATACCATGATACCAATTGATAGAAAATGGTATACAATAATATATAACTGAATTATTATTGAATACTCTGGAAAGTTACTCTCAAACAGAAGCAGAACATACACAAACACTTGCATAGAATGAAAATTGTTGGAAATAGAAAAAATACATTGTGTGTTTCCCACTAAAATGAGCATTTAAGTTTTAGGTTCATGTATATTTAAATTCATGCATTTAGGAAGTTGGACTATTATTTATTTCTCCTTGTAAACATAATATGTAATTAATTATAGTGTGTATAAATATCATAGTTGCTGAGTGTTTTATTCACTCAAGCACATTTAGAAAATTTCTTATTTCTATTTTTCACATGGTATCAGAGCTCCTAATCTAGGGGACTTTACTTCCGCTAATCATTATTTAGAGATCTGACTGGATATTTTTATGCTATCAGAACCCTTAAATCTTGACTGGGCAACACTTGCTGTCAAGTTTTTTCAATTAAATATTTTTTGTTCTTTCCACCCTCCATTTGCACAATTTCGTACTTCTTCTAGTAGTTGTCTGTCCAGCCACTGTCTCTATACTTTCCGGAAATTGTTCGTACAGTTTTCTACCACCGTTGATACAACTCTGAACATTTTTCAGCAGCCGTGTGCATAGTACCAGACGCTGCCCCTACATTTTCTGGGTTGATTTTTTTTTATCAAATCTTGTTTTCTTTGATATCTTATACATAAATATTTGATGGTTGCTTCTGTTACCTTTATGACCAATATCATGGAAGGGTCATTAGGTAATTGCAGTGTGGCGTATTCTGGTAAACTTCCACTCTCATTTGGATTTCATGTCCCAGAAACACACCTTGCTTATTTTGGATATTAGATTCAAGAGCCACAAACCACATGACACCCTCTTCGAAACAGTTCTCCACATATTCCCCTTATCCCAGTAATAAAAAAACTTCTACTGTAGTTGGTACTCTTGTATCTGTAGCTGGCATTAGAGATATCCAAATAAACCATTCTATAACCCTAAAAAGTGTCCTTTTCCAAAATTATCCATGAACCTAGTCTCCATACAAAAACTTACAAACGATTTATCCTGTAGTGTGACTTTTCATAATGATTGTTGTATATTTCAGGATAAAGAGTCGGGAAAGACGATTGGACGTGCTAGAAAAAGGAATGGCCTTTACTATCTTGAAGAATCAGGTCAGAGCACAAAAGTCCACTTGTCTCACTCATTTATGTCAGAGTCAGTACTCTCTAAAAAGGAAAAAATCTTTCTTTTTCATTGTCGATTAGGTCATCCTTCTTTTGGAGTCATTAAAGTTTTGTTTCCATCTTTATTCAATAAGGTAGATATTGAAAGTATTCATTATGATGTGTGCGAGGTTGCTAAACATAAGCGTCTACCTTTTCCATTAAACAACAAAAGAAGTCTTTCTCCCTTCTATCTTATTCATTCAGATGTTTGGGGTCTCTC